TATTATTCCACAAAGTACCCTCACACCCTTTCTCAGTCTATGCCTCTCCCATCGTCCTGGGAACAACCATTGTTCTGATTTTCATTTTCCATCAAAAATTAGGTTTGACTCTTGTAGAATTTTATATAAATAGATTCACACAGTATATACTCTTGTGTAAGTAGTATTCTGCTCTACAAACACACGTATTTCACATGTTCTTTTTTTTTTTAGACAGAACCTCAAGCTGTCGCCCTGGGTAGATAGAGTGTTATGGCATCACAGCTCACAGCAATCTCCAACTCCTAGGCTTAAGCGATTTTCTTGTCTCAGCCTCCCAAGTAGCTGGGACTACAAGCACCGCCACAAAGCCCAGATATTTTTTGTAGTTGTCACTGTTGCTTGGCAGGCCCAGGCCAGATTCAAACCTGCCAGCCCTGATGTATGTGGCTGGCACCTTAGCTGCCTGAGCTACAGGAGCCACTATGGCACATGTTCTTGATCCACTATCCTACTGCTGGATACTTCAGTTTTAAGCTATTATAAATAAAGCTGTTATGACCACTGTTGCATTCATCTTTTTGTCAGTAAGTGTTTTCATTTACCTTGGGTAAATACTTAGGAGTCAAAGTGCAAGGCCCTAAGATAGCAATGTTGAACTTTTTGAAGGACTGCACAACCCTTTACCAAAGTGCTCACACCATTTTGTATTCTCACTGACAGTGTAAGAGGACTCCAGTTGCTCCAAATCCTTGCTGAAATTTGGTGCTATACTATTAGTTTCGTGTGTACAGTGGTATCATATTGTGATTTCTATTTTGCATTTCCACAACGATTGATTACATTGAGAATTTTTTCATGTTGGTTTACATAATTGATGTTATAAATATAAAATCAGAATTTTTTTATCTTCACTGTGGATAAATTATAGTATTACATAGTGACCCCTTTGCTTCTAATATTTTTGTCTTAAAGTCTATCTTAGCTTTTATTCATAACAGCAAGACCAGCTTCCTTTTGGTTAATGTTTTGGCTGATATACATATAAATATTTTTTCATTCATTTTCCTTTCGATCTTTCCATGTCCTCAGGTTTTAGGCATGTTCCTCATCAACAGCAGGTAGGTAGATTCATGCAGTCTAACAGTCTATTCCTTTTAACAGCAGACGTCAGTCCACTGACATAGTGTTTAATACCATAGTCAGATTTTTCCACTACTGATCTTATTCTGTAACTTCTATCTGGCATTTTTCTCATTTTTTTCCTCTTACTTTCTTAGCCTTATTTAGATTAGGGTTTTTTCCTCTCATACCCTTGTTCTCTATTTCTTGATTGAAAAAAAAAGTTATATTACTTTAGCAATTATACTTTAAATTTTAATATTAATCAATAACTTTACTCTTCTCCCAAATGATATAAAAGCCTTACAACACTGTGGTACATGCTCACCGCAAGGAAAACTCACCTACGTGAGAAACATTCTCTGTTTTTTCTAAGGCTAATCATATGGAAAAGCACTACATAAGCACAGATAATTAGAATGCATCATCATTGCCTTAAATTCTGTACATGCATTCTAGATTACATCAACATGAGATTAATAATTTACTAGATGAAAAAATAAACACAATTTATTTCAAAATAGGAAAAATTACCTCCTCCTTGTTGCATAAAATACTGCTCCAAGTTATCACAGTCAATCTTGGTTCTACAGAAGATAATTGCTTGATCCATCTTATGTTCCTTGATTGCCCGGACAGTATACTCCCCCTTCAGAATTTTAACAGCTTCAGACCACATTTCTTGAATACCACAACAACAACAAAAAAAGAATTTCAATCTGACTTTGGAGCAAACACACATAAGTACAGTCACAGACTGCTTATTTCTCTTAAAAAATTCAGCTACTACAAATATTATAGTAAGGACAAGAAGTAATAAAGTTTGCAGAGTATCCCAAGACACATAACTATGTATATGCCTCTTATGAGGGACACACACATACACACATACAAATTAACAAAAATACATAGCCAAAACTTTCTTAGCTATCATGAAGAATTAAAAAAGGTCTGCTTTGCATTAACCTCCCAAAATGCTCAATAAATGTTTTATACAATTACTTTAACCTTACAAGCCTAAAGGGATCCATGGTTCTCTAAGCACCATCTATGTATCATGATGTACCTCCATATATATTCAGAACACTGAAACAAACTGGGTCAGCTTTGCACAGAAGCCTCTTCATTGAGTCAGGATTTAGCATTAGACTTTTTAAAAAAGTCTGACAAACTATTTAATGGGTATGGAGTTTCAATTTAAAAACATGAAAAGGATCTACAGATGGATAGTGGTGATTACAACAATGAGTTTACTTAATACCACTGAACTGTACACTAAAGAATAATTAAAGTGGTAAAATTTAAGACATGTGTATTTTACCACCACAACTATTTCAAGATCATTTTGATATCTTTTGCAAAGATACAGCTAAAGACATCCTTCTTTGTTTACCCAGCATCTCTGGCAAAAGGGATCTATATGATGTTTTTTCCAGAAGTCAGGACCAATATAAAAATCTGTCTCCAGAAAAATTTGTTTGTTTCCTATATAAATGAGAATTCTATAATCCTAAACATTTGTGATTTAGATGCCAAGAGACTAATACCTGAAGTCAGTGATTAATAGTCCTCTATCTGACCTCTTTTCAGATAGTTTCTTTCCTTCCAAGAGTCTGTCAGTTCTGGGATTCACTGGGACAACAGCGTGTGTACTGTATATGGAACAGACCCTTCCCTTTTAAATCAACTCATGTTAGGAAAGTGCCTTATCTTCTCAGTTTCTTTACATCAAAAGAATTCAACGTAGCATTTCTCTTTTTCCTTATTTTCTATTATTTTTGGTGCTTTTACTTTCAAATTTTATGTTCTAACTTTGTAGGCCACCTCACATCTTTCATGAAAATAGGCAGAGCATAAATGCAACAAGAACAACTAATTCATTTCCAAAATCTTTCAATACATTGTTTTTTTAACTTACCTGGACTGTTAGCCCCTGGTCTTGTGTTATCTTTTGCATGTACATCATCAGTCTATCAAAAGCAAACAAGGTAAAAAAGGGATGGGGAGTAGTCAAGTAATGATTGAGAACAGGTGTCTTTTTTTTTTTCTAAAAGGAGAATTACTTTTGTCATGGACTGCTTTCAAACATACGTCTTTATAATCTGTAGGCAAAACCATTCTTCAGATTCAGAAAAACCTCACAGCAACTCCACATCTAAGGTAATTAATTTTTAATGTAATAATAAAAATGTAAATGTGGTTTTCAGAATATTGTATATTTCTAATAAAGATATCCTTACTTTAATAAGGTTAAAGCTAATAACAGAAGAGAAAAGAACAAGATCGCCACATGAAATTCATATTTAGGAGAACAAGGGACATCAAAAGGACACAGATGAAAGTTCCTACTAATATGCTACAAAAATATAAATCATTATATCTGAAATTACATATAAAGAATCTTATTAAAGAAGCTGATCACAAAAGTAATTTCATATAGAGAGAAAAATTAAAAGATGGACCCCATCACTTACTCAGTGCCTCTTTAAAGTCCTCACCTTAGTCAGTGAAGTGGAATTTTCTTTGACACGATACCTGATTGCCTTAAGCACCACTAAGAGTTCCTGTGGTAGTTTATGAATTGCTTCATTCTATACAGATGTGAACATTAGAAAGTACTTACTCTAATGTGGTTCTTTCCAAGCCTTTCCCAGAGTCTGTCGGTTTTGGGATTCACTGGGACAACAACATGGTGTACAGTATCTGGAACAGAATCTTCTCCTTTTAAATCAACCCATGTAGGAAAATGCATTATCTTTTCAGATAATTTCTTTACATCAAAAGAATGCAAAGTGGCAGAGCAAACAATCACCTAAGAAGAAGAAAAGCCAAATTTAGAAACTTTTATATCACACAAATACTGATATGGGACAAAAATATGCTAACCTGGACTCCCCAAAGACTAGTTCAATACCAAATTCAAGACTCTGGGCTCGGCGCCTATAGCTCAACCGGTTAAGACGCCAGCCACGTACACCTAAGGTGGCAGGTTCGAATCCTCAGCCCAGACCCGCCAAACAACAATGACAGCTGCAACCAAAAAATAGCCGGGCGTTGTGGCAGGCGCCTGTGGTCCCAGCTACTTGGGAGGCGGAGGCAGGAGACTCGCTTGAGCCCAGGAGTTGGAGGTTGCTGTGAGCTGTAATGCCACGGCACTCTACCCAGGGGGACAGCTTGAGGCTCTGTCTCAAAAAAAAAAAAAAAAAAGATTCTGTGTAGCAACAATTAGCAGTGTGACTTAAGGAGGGTTAATTTCTCTGAGGTTCAATCCTCTCATTGTCACACAGAAATTATGCCATCATGTCCTCAAAGTCCTATAAAAACTAAGTCAGATGAAAAGGTTTCTGAAAATCAAGAACTATTAAGTCACTAGCCTCTTTCTCTTAAAAGCTTCCTAAGAAAGAAGGGTGAAAAAAAACAAAAGAGCAATATTTGAAGAAATAATTATACAGAAGGTAACTTTTTTTTTTACAACAGTCAATTATATTTTAATCAAAAGCTTAAAGATACATAAGAAAAAAATCCATGCATTTATTTAATCAAAAACCAGTGAGAAGGTAACTTTTTTAATAGGCGAAGTTATTTTTCTTTCAAACAGGAAGCAGTATCAATAATCTAGAACATAATCCCAAAATGATTCATAGGACACAACTACTAAGAATTGTTTACTTATAGTCTTCTGTACCACCTAAGTAATTTCCTCACACCTCCCTTCTCTTTTTTTATTTCTAAAAACAGCTCTTAAGATTATCATCTTTGGGCGAACTATTTAGTCTGGTAACCAAGGAAACATTTTATATAACAGTTAACAAGAACACACAAAAACAAAAAATTATGATTAAACTGTAACAACTGTCTACACATATTTAAGATGCATTATAGTAGTTTTATACCTGAAGTCTTTTTCCATCAGAGGTAATCTGAGGAATCTGATTGTGCATCCTATTTATAAAATCAGAATAACCTTGAGAAAGCAGCCCATCCTACATAAGAAGCAAAGAAACAACAGAAGTTTTTAATCAGTACTGAAATCCTTTTTTAAAATCAAACCTAAAACACTAAAATAAGGAAATTAATCCATATACATACATATCCCCATATCTGCAAAATTATCTTCTACTGGATGGATTATTTTCTATTGGATATTTAAAGATACCTCTATTGACATTTAAAGGTAAATTCAAGTTTAAATTCCTTGTGACTAAAATACGAAAGTGACAAAACATAATCCAAAACTGTATTAAACACTAGGGTTAATAGCTTCTAATACATCTCAACACATTAAGCATATGATTTTAACATAAAAAGTATAAACCCTTCAGTGCAAGGAAACTTAATTCAATGTGAAAATAATTTAAAGTATATCTCAAGAGCCTGAAACACATTCATGTCCTTTCAAGATAGCCCATATTTTGCATCTCTGACATAAGGAAATAATTTATAAAACGTAAAAAGAATGTACATATAAAGATAGCTATTTGGAGTAAAAAACAAGCCTACCTACGTATCTAGTAACAAATGTAGTTAAGCAAACCATGGAGTGTCCATATAACAGAACATCAGACAGCCTTTAAAAGTTGTTTACAAACACTGACAGGAAATACTACAATGTTACATTTTGAAAAATTTTTCCCAGATTTCCCATAGCTTGATTTTCAACTACATAAAATATTTACATAAAACAAGGTGACAAAAAAAATCAAACTAGTAACAATGATTCTATCTAGGTAGTAAGACCATAATTAAATTGTACTTTTTTCTTCATTTTATATATTTTACCTCAAAAAATATAAGCAAACTTTAAATAAAAAAAAAAGACTACATTTCAACATACAGCTTCATCAAGGACCAGGAATCTAACTTGAGATAAGTTCAGTTTTCCAGTTGACACCAAGTCGTCCAGTCTTCCTGGAGTGCCTACAACTATATCTACCTGAAAAACAGAAGCAGCACCTAATGAAAACTGCAGAACTATTACATATTACCTGGAAATAGCAACCAATAACTGTCTACTCATAACAGAAACATGCATACTGAAGCGTTCAGATTCAACTCTAAATTTGTAAGAAAAAGAATTATGGATAATGCCATATATTAACTTGCATTTGGCTTGAAATTTATATGACGATTTTGGACCAAAATTTATTTTGACACCCTTAACTGTCATAGATGGTCTTATACATAAAATTTTTATTTTCTGAGTAAACATCAGAAGAATTTACTATAACTCTGAAATTAAACCAGGACACAAATTCCATATCCACCATTACTCAACTGTGTGACTTTTTTTTTAAATTAAATCATAGCTGTGTATTTGTGACCTTTTCTTATTTTATCTCTTCTAGTTACAATTTTCTCATTTTTTAATCGGAGGAATACTGTCTGCTTTTCAAGATGGCTGTGATAATTAAGGAGATAAGTAAAGAAAGTACTTGATGCCTACTATACCTGGTGCTCAATAAACTGGGTTATAATTACTAGTAATGGTGATCAGACTTCCAAGAAAACAATAATTACTATTTGTAAGTGCTTATTAATGAACAGGCACTGTGCTAAACATTTTACAAGTTTCATTTCATGATATCAATAAGGCAAATACTATTATTATTCCTATTTTTAAATGAGGAACCTGAAATTTAGAACACTGAAATCATAGCACTTACAGCTAGTTAAGTACCCACACTGGGACTCAAACTCAAGAGTCCAAACGTGAGGAAGAGTCTAATCTAAATGACAGCAAGTTTTATTTTTTATTACAAAAATTTTCAACCATATACAAAATAAAATAGTATAAAGAACTTCTATAATACAATTAATTAACAACATTTTGCATTCTCACAGACACATCTTGCAGTCATGTCCACAGACAGGATGATGAGGAACATGGGTTTGGGAGTAAAGCTCTACCTAGGAGGCATAAGATCTCGGACAAGTTACTTAATAGTTAATATAAACCCTCTTCCTAATCTGTAAACACAGGGAAGATTACTATTTCAGACGGTGCTTGAGAGAACTGAATAAGACAACATTAAGCTTGTAGCATCATGCTTGGCCCATTTCTAAAAAGCAGCCAATAGAGGTTAGGTATTTTTAAAGTGTACATATGCATGCATGCAGGTCAGCACAAATAAGATAATAAATAAGTAAATAAATAAATAAAAACAAATTCATGAGTGCTAGAATTTTGTATGAGGGGTTTGGATGCTACTGGGGAAAGAAAAGGCACACTTGCAAGATAATTTTTCACAAAATATGCCTTTGAATGAATTTTAGCCTCATTCGATTTTTCTTAAAACAAAACAGAAAAATAGAACTTCTATAAGTTGACCACCCAAGGGACTATAACAAACAGGTCAACGGACAGAGGTGGTCAACGTAAGGAACTAGTACTGGTATAGACAGGTGGTAAATGTCTGGTCCATGAAAATTAGGTCAACTTATGGAGGTGGTCAATGTAGGGAGGGGGCCAACTGTGGAGGTCCTACTGTACATTTCCAAAATGACAGCCTGTAACATTACTTTTTAAAAATTAAAAGTACAGGCTCCGCGCCTGTGGCTCAAGCGGCTAAGGCGCCAGCCACATACACCAAAGGTGGTGGGTTCGAGTTCAGCCCGGGCCCGCCAAAAACAATGATGGCTGCAACCAAAAGACAGCTGGGCGTTGTGGCAGGCGCCTGTGGTCCCAGCTACTTGGGAGGCTGAGGCAGGAGACTCGCTTGAGCCCAGGAGTTGGAGGTTGCTGTGAGTTGTGATGCCATGGCACTCTACCCACGGGGATAGCTTGAGGCTCTGTCTCAAAAAAAAAAAAAAAAAAAAAAAATTAAAAGTACAACTTACCCCATTTTCCAAAACAGAGAGCTGATCCCGTGCTGCAACACCTCCAATTATCAGAAGCTCCCTGGGCAAAAAAAAAAAATCACAATAATAATTAATGTAGAAAAAAGATTAAAGTCTGATGTACATTGTTTCCTGAAAATTTTAAAACATGAAGTGGCCATATTATCCAACCATTTTATTCCTAAGAATACATCCAGGGAAAATGAAAATATCTATCTTCACACAAACTTGTACACAACAGTCGTAGCATAGCAACCAAAAACTCAGCAGTGATGAGCAATTCAAATGTCCATCAATTGATTAAAGGATAAACCAAATGTCTGTGTAATGTAATACTTTCTGGAAATAAAAAAAGCAATGATGCACTAATATAAATTGGAACATGGATGAACCTGGAAAACACACTCAGTAAATGAAGCCAGTCCCAACAGACTATATTATTTACAATTCCGTTTATACACAACGTCCAGTATAGGTAAATCCATCGGAATAGAAAATAAATTAGTGCTTGCCTACGGATGAGGTTAGGGGAAAGCAGGACTGCTTATGCAGGGGTCCTCAAACTTTTTAAATAGGGTGCCAGTTCACTGTCCCTCAGACCGCTGGAGGGCCGGACTGTAGGCCCTGGGATAAGTCGGCTGCTAAGCAGGATAGGCAGTGGCGGCAAAAACACCCGGTGAGTAGGATAAATGTCCTCAGTGGGCGGCATGTGGCCCATGGGCCCTAGTTTGAGGATGCCTGGATGGTGTTTATTTTCAAGGTGATGAAAATGTTCTAAAATGGTTTTTGTTAATGTATTTGGGAAACATAATGCCCCTAGGGTGGTAGATGGTTAGGAAATGTGCCAAGATAATGGGCATTTACAGACAAGAAAGCTTTTCGCTCTGTTTAGTTTACTATCTAAATTGATTTAAGATGAAGGCAGGCAACCATCAAGCAATTTGTAATGAGTCACAGACTTATAAAACTCAGTGTTAACATGTCATCCACTTTTTCTGTGTTTTCCAGTATTTTTTAAATGAATAATAAAATGAGAATAAAATTAATAAAGGAAGGTTCTTGGTAGAAACTTCTAACTAAAAGTTATCTGGCTGTCTTAAGAACTTTTTTTACTTATGGAAGAAAATCTTATTGTAAATAGTTTTACTCAAATGTAATTTACATATCATACAATTCACCCTTTAAAACGTACAAGATGTTTTTAGGTTTGATTATAATCCCAGCGATAAATACAATTACCACAGTGGTGGCTTTCCTCCATTTGGTGAGTTTTATGATGTGGGAATTATATTTAAATAAAGAAAGTAACCAAAAGCAAAAGTAACAAAAATCAAGTGTCAAATTAAATAATAGTAGTTTACTTTTATGGTACAGCTTTTGTCAAATTAAAAAGGATTGCTACTGAGCAAGAAGCTCCATAGATCATTTAACTTATGGTCTCCCTCCAAAGGCAGATAGCTAGATAGTGAATAAGCTGAATGCCCCAATGTAAGAAAGCCACCACAGGGGGGCAGCCTAGAATCAACTTGGCCAAGTTTGCCAACATGCTAGAAAAGAGGGATGCCTCTTCTATGCAAACAAAGTGATGAAATGAATCTAACATTGAATGAAATGCTTCCTTTAAAAAAAATCAGTTTTTACTAACATTGTTTGACTTACCATGAATCTTCATGTTAAGAAACACAGAAAAAATTTCAACTTGATAAAAAAAAGAAAACCTTACCACTTACCAAATAAACAGAAGTTTTATACAGAAATTGTTATTATATCAAAGTTACACATTTACATACTTTTATGTGTGCATTATGTATACACAATGAATTTCTACCTTGTTTTTTTCTATGTTACTCTTCTTCCAAAACACAAAAACAAAAGGCATTTGAGCACAAAAGGAAGATTTACCTTAATTTAGGATTATCAATATATTTCTTAAACTGCTTGATGTTATTCAAAGTTTGTTCAGCTAACTCCCGGGATGGTTCAACAATGAGAGCTTTTGGAGCATTGGGGAGAAACTTTGTTTGTGTTACCTGTGCATTACCTTAGAGGAATAAAAATAATTAGAATACATGCAAATCACACCTCAAAATACCATTTCATTATTTATAAAATATGAGGGCAAAGATTCCAATATCAAAATTTTAACAGAACTGTCAATAAGTATAAGAAACAAACATAATAAAACAAAGCCAAGATTTCTAAAATGAACCAAGCCCTCTAATTAAATCTACCTGTAATAATTGTAAAATAACTGGTAAGTCTATAAAAATGACCAACTTGGGATAAAGTGAACAAGCTATCACATGGCTTGTACTTTAAATAACTGAAATCTACTAGGCAGTACAATAAGCACATAAGCTTTGGAGTCAGACTACTTAGATCAGAATTCAGTTCTTATACTTATTTGCTCTATGACCTTAGTCAAGTTAGTTTAAATCCCTATTCTTGAGGTTCTTTGTAAATAAGAAAATTACTACCTTATAGGGTTATTAAACATTATATAATCCATGTAAGACACTTAATGTGGTGCCTTAGCACTTAACCACCACATATTCTATAAATATTAGATATCATCACCATCAGGACTGAATCCCCAAATGCCTTAACTCAAACTATATACTTAGAGTTAATGAATCAGGTTTGACCAAACATCAGGGGAAGTATATGTAATCCACTATGAGAAGCCTTACTGGAGTTTGCACCAATTTTTTTCAACATTCTAGAAATTCTTACCCTCTCAGGTATAATACCTGTGTGTTGTGATTTGACAGTGTAACTATCAGGTGCCTTGGAAAGAGCAACAAAACCATCTTTTGGTGGAAACTTGAATTCTTCTTCCCCGAAGTTAAATTTTAGTTCAGCATTCTAGCATTGAATAAAGAAGAAAATTAAAATTCTTACCTTACTAGGAAACTGACCAATACAAAATAATGAAGATCAAGCAGATTATAATCATAGCAAAATTTGTTTAACTAGACTCTAAATTACCTTCAAAACACAAGCAGGAAAAAGGGCTTGATTTTTCATATGTGCTGGTATTTCAAACGCCAGACCAAGGTCTTTTCCTAAGAAAAGAAAATAGAGAAAGAGAATTGAAACAACAGGCAAAGAATTTTCACATGCTCACACTGTCAAATCTACTAACTAACCTACATGCATTCATGATTCCCACCTGATACTACAGACAAACCATGCTGCTTAAAAAGCCAGTCTCTTCACCATTTTTCCTTAACTCCTAAAACTGTCCCCCGCCCCTTCTACATTCTTCCTTGTCTACAAGACCACTTCCATTAGATGTTCCATAGCATACAAACAGTTCCACATTAAAACAGAAGCAAATTTCTGTTGAACCCATCTTTCCCTCCATTTATGTTCCATTTTTCTTCTCCTTTTTCCATTTCCAAAACTTCCCATTTTCCATTTCTACTGTGTCTATTTCTTTTACCCCATTCTCTAATGAACTGGCTCCCCATCAAGCTACCCTCACCCACCTCCTTGCTTGACCCAAACAGCGCTCTATCTGGCTCATTAATACTCTCTACTTGCGGCTCGGCACCTGTGGCTCAAGCAGCTAAGGCGCCAGCCACATACATCTAAGGTGGCGGGTTCGAATCCAGCCTGGGCCTGCCAAACAACAATGATGGCTGCAACCAAAAAATGGCCAGGCATTGTGGCGGGCGCCTGTGGTCCCAGCTACTTGGGAGGCTGAGGCAGGAGACTCGCTTGAGCCCAGGAGTTGGAGGTTGCTGTGAGCAGTGAAGCCATAGCACTCTACCCAGGGGGACAGCTTGAGGCTCTATCTCAAAAAAAAAAAAAACTCTCTACTTGCTAAATCCACCAGTTAATGTCATGACTCACCTTTAGCACTGGACACAGTGACTGCTCCTGGTCCCTGAAACAATTTCTTACCCAGACTGTAGGATACCATGCCCTCTTGGTTCTCCTCCTCCTGGCCTTCCTGCTCATTCTCCTCTGCCGGATTCTGTCAATTCACTGACCCCACCCATAGGAACCCAGGCTTCAGACCTTTTCTTTATCCTCACTGCTTAGGCAATCCCACTCCTACCCCCAATTTGTTTTCAGCACAGCAGCCAGAATGAACTATTCAACTAAAGCAGCGGTTCTCAACCTATGGGTGAACTATACTAAAGGGCCGCGGCATTAGGAAGGTTGAGAACCACTGAAGGAAAGAGAGATGCTGCTGCTACTCCTCTGCTCAAGGCCCTAATGGCTTCCCATCCACTCAAAAACCAAAGTCTGTATCATGGCCCACTCAGCTCTACATGGCCTGGCCTCACCACCTCACTGATGTAACACTCCAGTCCCCTCCTCCGTGTTCAGTGCACTTCAGACCCAGTGGCCTCCTCACTATTACTCAAATACTTTGAGAACACTTCCATCTCGGGGCTTCCACATTTACTGTTCCCTCTGCCTGAAATGCTCCTTGAAGGTATCTTCATGGGCTATCACCCAACTCACTGAGATTTCCACTCAAACATCATCTCATCAGCAGAGCCTTTCTGACCATCCTATGGAAGAGCACACACCCCGACTGCGAGGACTCCCCTTTCCCTTCCCATGCCACGGACTCTCCTCCGTGGCATTTATTACTACCTGAGAGTACATGCCTGTCTGTCTCCACAGAGAGCGCCACAGAAGTAAACACATTTGTCTAGTCCATTTTCTGCTGTGTCTCCGATACTCAAAAGATACCTCACACACAGAAAACGCTCAATAAATATTTGTTCAAAATCAGGGAAGGAGGGACAGAAGGTTGAAGAGAGTGAAGGGAAAATCACAATTATAGAATGTCATGTATCTTTTTGCTAATAAGCTCTGTGAAGACCTTACCGTTTTTGGAAAACTTGACATGCCCTTTATCTATATCTAGGTAACATCCAATGGTATCATGCATAGTGAATTCCTAGAAAACCAAAAAGTTAAGAACTATTAATAGAAAGCAAAATCTTTAATGAAGTTAAAAGTTCAAATATAGCTACAACAAAAGTACACGTTAAGTTTTAAAATAATTCCTTGAAGTGCTAACGTAGATGATAAAAATGAGATATGACAATTAAGTTCACAAGCTCGTCTCAGAATAAGTGCTGCATACTTCACTGCTGAATACCTTACAGTCACCTTAGAAGTATTTCCCTTGGTAAGCCAGGCATTGATGCCAATGCCTAGTTCACCCTTCAAAGCAATTTTGGAAGTCTTTCTGGAATGACCATCAGAACTGTCATCGTACAACACACAAAAACACGAAACAACAATAATAAACACCAAGCAGCAAGACCCTGCCACATGTCAACACGAACACAGCTGTGAGACACTGATACACCAAAGTGATGAAAGCGTACCCAGGTGTTTGTACAGTGCTACCAATATAAGTGCATAGTGGCAGGTTGGAGAACTTGTCAGACCTTGTACAATGACAGCTCTGATGGTCATTTAAATTCACCATTATCAAAAATAAGAATAATGTATGTATTAAAGCCAAAATAAAAATGGAATAAGAGAAGACAATGTAATACATGGTGGCCATTAAGCTCATGTGCAATTTAAAATTGCACACGAATTTTATAGCTACCCTGTATATTTCTGAAGGGGTAATGAACAGCATAAAAGAAAAACGGTAACTATTACATATTCACCTAGTTTTATAATATCTCTTCACTAAAGTCCAAATCTAAGCTTTAGATGGAAAATATACAGAAAATCTACTCGACCTGGAGAATCTTTTATATACCCTCATAGTCAAGAGTGATCAAGTATGCAAGAAAACTTATTAATGCTATGTTTAAGTCAATAGCATAATAGCTTACCTCTCCGTAATTATCAAATTGTTTATTATGAGATTTCTTTCCTGTTCCACCAAAGCCAAATCCAAACTTGTCAGTACCTAGATTTAAGATTTTAAAAGCATTTTACTTACATGGTAAGAGAACATACACAATTAAAAGCCCTAGTAAAAGGAGCAATTTTATTTATATGCCATTATAATATTTTCATTTCAAAAGACCACAGGAAAAACTTGCCTAAAGTTTCTGACTCCAGCAAAGAAATGAACAGTTTTAAGCTTCTTTTAGTCAAAGTTATGTGACATGATCGACATAGGTGATAACTGCATTCCCTTTTGCTTTGGCCATGAAGAATTTCAGATGTGAATTTATAATAATTTGAAGTATCTGTGCAGTACTATGTGGTACACACTCATGCACACTAACTTTATCTTGACTCTATTCAGAGCTTTACCCTTATTCCCCCTGATTTCATACACTGTTATAATGTATGTATGTACTTTTTGTAAGTTACTTCAAATCTTTTTTTGGAACATGGGTTATGATAAATATTACTTCCATGTCTCTAAAATATGAACTTTTTATGGCTAATTTATTACTATTATTACTGTTTCTCAAAATAATAAAACATTAACCCACAAACATAAATCAATCAATTCAGTTTTTTTAGAAACACTTACCTAGGTCCAAGGAGGCCTGCATAGTAGACCAGCCAACTCTGCATAATCCTTGGTCATGACAGGATACTTCATAGTAGTATTTCCCTATAACGGTAAAGTACTTAGAGATTTATATAAATCACACATATATGATTCAATTGCCATGTAGCTTCATCTGGTATGTACCAAACGACAAATAGTAGGTCTTTTTGTACCATCAAGATTCTTTCCAGATCCTCGATTTAAAGGCATTCAAAGCTCATGTACTGGTACCTTGTCTCAAAAGTTTACACAAGGGCAAACACTGTTCAAATACCTTTCATTAATCCTTTAGTAGCTCTACACCCATGCCATTCCTTTACTTCTCTGCTTTGACAACAAAGGCCATCTGATCCAATTGCTGGATTTGAGAAAGAATCAGAAAAATGTCAGTGTAGGTTTTATAAATCATACATCCAGAAAAATAAATATAATTACTAATTATAATATAAAATATAAATTACTATAATATAAATATAAAATATAATTATTATTTATCATATAATTACTAATATGATAATTCCTTCACTTGTTACAACATTCCAGAGACTGAGACTTGTTGATCCCAGGTGATAGCAGTATTTTGTTCAAGAATAACTGCCTATATTCATCCCCTGTCTGGCGATGTTGAAGGCTAGTTTCCATATTTCATCTGTTAACTAGGACAAGATTTTATAGCAACACATCCAGAATGGAATCAACACAGCTCCTAACCTGACTTGCACTCATAGTAGCTGCATCAACAACACAAATGTACTTAGACAACTATTCTCTAGAGTACCTTAAAAAAATTGGTACTCAAGGATAACATATCACCTCGTCATCAGTATTTGTTGCCCTCATTTTATACTTCAATTAGAGCTTGAGTGACTATACTAAAAGTAATGAATTTGCCCTTGACTTGTTCCCCAGTCAAAAGAAGAAACCATAAAGGGAAAGTAGGGAAAAAGCACAAATAAACAAATATTATTTGCCAACGTCAGGACTCTAAAAGATATGGTTCTATATTATACATCACAGTCAGTCACAGTGATATCCACATAGTGGATTTAAAAAGATTTAGGTTTTGTCTATATTAGAAATTATAACATTATCCTGGTTCATGTTTACAACTCATATTCAGCACTTGAATGTAGAACAAACTTAAAAAAGCAACCTCGGGTGGCACCTGGGGCTCAAAGGGGTAGGGCGCTGGCCCCATATGCTGCGGGTGGCAGGTTCAAACCCAGCCCCGGCCAAAAACTGCAATAAAATGAAAAAGAAACAAAAAACAACCTCACACTTCTTCACTTTTCAGAAATTAAATCATCCAAAGTATAAATTCTTACTCATATGGGTACTGAATTAAATAAAACTAAAGTTAAAAAAAAACATTCTCAAGGAGTTTCTGAACAGCTGAGCACATGAAAATTCCTAGGGGTTGCACACCCAAGGAGGGCTTGGGGCTTCCTACCCCTTCTCACACCTGGTCCTACACATTTCTTCATCTGTATCTTTTGTAGTAGTAAACGTAAATAAGCGTTTCCCTGAGTTCTGTGAGCCACAGTGTAAATTAACTGAACACAAGGAAACCTTGGGTGGCCACAGCGTGACCTGTGGTATGAAGGTGCAGCTGTGCTGCACTCACTTAATAAAGGTAAAAGGAACTGATGTGATTCAGAGACGGATCCACCTCCTGGGGAGGTAGTTCACGGGATGCCTAAGAAAATGCAAACTAATAAGAAAAAAGAAAAATATGTAATCTTTCACAGTGACTGTTATCTATACTAGCTGGAATAAAAGTAAAAGAGAGTGTTGGATCAGACCCTGATGATAGCTAGATAAAGCTCAGATTTCAGTCAGTCTGAGCTTCAGCCAGCAGCTGAAGGTAGGACTATACCTAACAAATGCAAATATTGTAACCTAGTTGTTTATCCCCTCATGTTAACCTGAAATTAAAAAAAGAAGAGAGTGGAAGGGGAGGGGAGGGGAGGGGAGGGGAAGGGAGAGGAAGGGAGAGGAAGGACAAGGAAGGAAAGGAAAGAAGAGGAAGAGGAAGGAAGGAAGGAAGGAAGGAAAGAAAGAATAAAGAAAACACTGATGAGGTGAAACTAAGAGAAAAAAGGGAAGAATCACAGGACTTGTCCCAGCAGGCTGGACATCTTTAAATAGTTATTAAGAAATGAATGAATAAAATACACATTAATGGGGGTTAAAGCAAAGATTTAAATACAGCACTACCAAAGGCAGGGTGGACCAAAGGTAGCCCATCCTGGTTCCCTAAAATTAAAAGCTTCAAACAAGTTTGCTGTGCTTACCCTAGTTTGGAAAAAACTTAGGCACTAGCTACGTACACTAGAGCTGGCAGGTTTGAATCCAGCCTGGGCCTGCCAAACAACAATGACAACTACAACCAAAAAATAGCCGGGCATTGTGGCTGGCACCTGTAGTCCTAGTTACTTAGGAGGGTGAGGCAAGAGAATTGCTTAAGCCCAAAAGTTTGAGGTTGCTATGAATTGTGACGCCGTATCACTCTACCCAGGGTGACAGCTTGAGACTCTGTCTCAAAAAAAAAAAGTATAAAGCACAGATTATAATGAGAAAATTGATAATTGTGTGGGGCAATGTTGTGAAAGGTTAACTGAATAAATCATCCTTTTTTCCCCCCACTGAAATGAAATAGTACTTTTTTCCTGCATATTAACTTCTCATGTATACTAGGATTTATTTCCATTATATTGTACTGTCTATTCCTATGTCAGTACCTTACCATTTAATTATAGTAATAATACTCTTAACTTCTGAAAAATGAAATCTTCAATAACTATACTTTTTCAGAATTTTCTTGGTATATCATTATACAAAAAGTTTCTGAATTAGTAAAATTTATCCACTTACCAAAAGCAGATCCTCTATCATATGGGTTCATCTGCCATTTGTTGAGTACTAAACAAATTAAATAAGAAAAGTTATTCACAAACATATAAAATTAAAAATGCTCAGTAACAAAGCAAATATTTTACATATCTTAATTTCTATAGATTCAGTATATAGGGTTTTACATATTTAACATTTGCTGCTATTATCGAGAACAAAATGAAACTGAAAATCAAAACATGTCAAATAACCACTGGCCTATCTGAAACTAAAACCCTACCTACTCTCATCACTTGCTTTGGTACTAGATGACAGGGATCTTTGTCCTAACAACTAGGTTAGCAGTCCCAAACCTTTTTGGCATCAAGGACTAGAAGACAATTTTTACACAAAGAGGAGAGTGGGGAGGGGTATTTCAGGATGATTCAAGTATATTACATCTCTACCTCAGATCATCAGGCATTAGATTCTCAGAAGAAGTGGGCAACCTAGATTCCTAGCACAGTTTACAGTAGGGTCCCTGTTCCTGTAAGAATCTAATGCTAGGGCTAATCTGACAGGAGGCAGAACTCAGGCGGTAATGCAAGCAATGGGGAACAGCTGTAATACAGATGAAGCTTGGGGTGCTCCTCGCCCACCCAGGCAGCTCACCTCTTGCTGTGTGGCCTGGTTCCTAACTCCATAAATCATTTGTAAAATCTTTTCTTAATACTTTTATAAAATGTACCAAAGCATAAAAAGTAGTCAGTGTAATAAAAACACTAAAATAACTAAACGTAATTTCCAAAACACAAACTTTTTTTTATTTTTTGCAGTTTTTGGCCAGGGCTAGGTTTGAACCGCCCACCTCTGGCATATGGGGCCGGCGCCCTACTCCTTTGAGCCACAGGTGCCACCCAACACAAACATTTTCTTAAAAAAAGTACTCTTAGTATTTTATAAGAGAGGGGGACAACCGTTCACTGTTTAGGCTCTAAACAATTATTTAACAGTCTGGTTTCTACATCTCCAAATTGCAGTACCATCCCCCAAAGACTGGCAATAAAAATATATACCCAAACTTCACAATCCTAAAGGCCAGTAATGACAATCATTGACTTATACAAAAGTATCAACTTATAAAAATTACCTGAAGCACCAGTTTTAATTGTTGTTTTTCCTTTTTTACCTTCCTGTTGATCTTTCAGAGTTTCATAAACGATCTGGATAACTGGAATACTGAAAGCCTATCAGAAACCAAAAGTTCTTTCTCTATATGAATATTCAGATATTATTGAGTTTAATAACATAAACGACAAAAGGTATGCACACACAATTAATATGTACACATATTCCAGATTGCTGTTCCAATTTCATCTGCCTAAGCCTGAAACACCAGTAAGATAATAGAACTGATCAAATAAAAGAAGTTAAGAGCCAGCGGACAGCCCAAAGACAATACAGACATACAGAACGAACCTAAAGAGAAAAAAATATCCAGTCTGACAAACTATTTCTCCATTCTAGGCCAATAGGAGATCAACTTTTACCTACAACTTCCTTATTATTAAAGAACCATTGGTTTAAAATTCAGAAGTTGTGAAGCCAGGCGTAGTGTCTCATGTCTATAATCTCATCACTCTGGGAGGCGAAGGCAGGTGGACTGCTTGAGCTCAGGAGTTTGAGACCAGCCTGAGCAAGAGCAAGTAAGACCTCTGTCTCTAAAAATACCTGGGTGTTGCGGTAGGTGCCACAGCTATTTGGGAGACTGAGGCAAGAGCACTGCTTGAGCCCAAGAGTTTGAGGTTGCTGTGAGCTATGACACTCTGGCACTTAACCCCAGGGAGACTGAGTGATACTCTAGTCTCAAAAAAAACAAATTAAAATACAATACAATACAATTCCGAGGCTAGTAAAGTTTATAACAAGTAAAGATACTGTGACTCTTTCTCCAAGACCAGATTAAAAGTACATTCTTAAAGCCATGCTGTTTTGTACATGTTCACAAAGATCTTAGCTGGCAATAAAATATCACTCTCAGTGGCAACCAAGCAATTCCTTATATTTTGGAGGTGGCTGTTTTATTAAATATTTTAAAGTAAAAGCTATGTTTCAAGCTATTTCAAAATATAACTCTTACAAAGTAAGCTTTCAATTTATTACTTACACCAGTTTTTCCACTTCCTGTTTCTGCAGCCTAGATGGAGAAAAAAGGTTGATTTTACAGATTAATTTATCAATTGAAGAGATTTAATTAACATGATACCATGTAGAAATCTTTAACACTTGACTGGCTACCTTTATTTTCAGTGCCTTCACATTACCCAGGCTTCCTCAGCCAAGTCTGTTGCCCATTCCCTGAAGAATATGTTCTCCAATTTTCTTTCTCCAACAAAGCCCTTATCATTCTAAACTCTGTTAGGCGAAAAATATCCTAACAGTATCAAATCCCACACAGCTATACTGTAATCTGCTACCACATTAGTCTTCACACAATTCTAAACACACAACACCCCAGCTTCATAACTGCCAACATTCTTCACTGTCTATACCCAAATTCTTCAACGTGACACTTGAGAAAGGGACAGAGTAATCTGACCCACTATATAGTTGTCATTTTATCTCAAGTTACCCCCAGACACAGACATTTTATGTAACCACCTAACTGCAGATCATACCCTGCATTCTCCTATTACTATTTTTGTTGATGCTTTCTCTGCCTAGAGAGCATTTCTCTTTCATCTTCCCTTGTCAAAAATCTTCCTAGTAGTCCTTTCCTCTCACTCAAACAGAAAGACAACTAGACTCCCATCTGAATCCTCTAATACGCTTAATCTATGTAGGTGCCACATTCTCTCTAATATGACACTTATTTTTGTACATGTCTTATCGCCCTACTTGGCTGAAGCTTCTCAAGGGCAAAGACTGCAATTTCCTCATCTTTGTGTACCTACGGTCTCTACCTAATACTCTGAATATAGTGTTTATCAGAAGTATTTGTGAATAAAATTAACTTGGTAAAAGGATCATTTTTAAGATGATGGAGTTCTTAGAATGTGTCACAGACAGCCCCCAAATATGTGTTCCCAGAAGCCCAAAGTTCCCACCTCACATTTAAACATACCATGAGGACGTCACCTCCTCCTAGGATCAGGGGGATAGACTCAGCCTGGATATCAGTTGGGAGACTACAAGAATCATATTTGAAGAATTTTAGTTTAAGAAAAAAATTAACCTAAGCAAATTAAGTCAGGTTAAACTGTAAGCCCAAAACGTAACTTTATTTGGTCAATATAACCAATGCTCTTCATGTAGAAATGTGTCGAGGTTAAAAAAAGAAACCTTCCATAAAGAGAATTACAAGAAAAACTAAATTTCACTTATCCTCCTACACCCAAAAATATTTGATAAAAACAGTAACAACTTTTTAAACTAAAAATCATCCTTGTTACTGGTGCATTTAAGCTTTATATACTCACAGCCAATCCATCTCCTCCACAGCTTGTGCAATCTCAGGCATAACACCCATCTCTGAAAGTAAAATTTAATTTCAGATACTATACATACTAAGCATAAGTCATAAATCACATTGCTCTTAAAAATTTTTTTTTTTTTGAGACAGAGTCTCACTATTTTCTCCCTCGGTAAAGTGCCGAGGCATCACAGCTCACAGCAACCTCAAACTCTTGGGCTTAAGTGATTCTCTTGCCTCAACCTCCCAAGTAGCTGGGACTACAGGTGCCAGCCACAATGGCCAGCTATTTTTGTTGCAGTTGTCATTGTTGTTTAGCTGGCCCAGGCTGGGTTCCAACCTGCCACCCTTGGTGTATGTGGCTGGCGCCATGACCACTGTGCTAACGGTGCCAAGCATCACTGCTCTTAAAATTACTGTTCATAAGACAAGGGAGAGACTCTGAAGTGTGGCTCAGTTATATCATACCTAGAGAACGTGGCACTAGTGAAAAGCTTAAGTTTTGAAGAAAGGCTAAATTTCAAATCCAGTCTCTCACTTATTAGCAAATGATCCTAGGCAAAGCGATAAACCCATTTTTTCCCACACAAAATGCGGTGTATATTACCTTTCTTACAGATACTGGAAGACTAACGCTAAGGCACACAGCTATCACCTAATACACAGTAACTATCATAGCACTTGTTTACCTCCTGTGACTAGAGAAAAACCTGCCAGAGCTAGACTGCATTCTAGACACCTTGGTTATTTACATTTTGAGACAACGATGCAATCATGTGCCTGAACTATTTGAGGGTCACAGCAATAGGAGAAATGCCTCAGCAATTTGAGAAAAATGAACAGACAAGGAGAGACTCCTATTTACTGGAAGAAAATGATCAAAATTACTGAAGAGGGAGGGGTTAGTGGTGAAGATTTGGGCAACTGGAAAAATGTCAGTTGAAGAGTTGTCCTGTCCTCAGTTGTATGCATACTTAAATAATTCTACTTCAAGAACCATCCTAAACAAATAGGTTGGGTTGTTCTTGATTGTGTGTTATTTTACCATTTCTCAAATGCACTGTAGAGGTCAGCTATACTTGGACTAGTTAGGTGAACTATTTAAACTTTTCCTCAAATAAGCATTTATCTTTAAGTCTGCATTTAGAAAATGCAACTTTTATTAACATTACAAAAGTATATACCCCTATAAAAAAGCAAACTCAAATAGTCCCAAGAGAAATAACCAATTTTGAAATTCTGTATTTCTTGTCTTTGATTGTAAAAAGGCATAAAGTAAATCCACAAATCGAATTTATTACAATAGCAGTGTTTTCTTTGCATCATATAAGAATCATCATTGTCAAAAAAGAAGGCTCTCCCAACTCTAAATCTTCCCTCCCAAAAAATCCACAGATAGAGAAACTAGTCAAGATTTAAAGCTGGATATCCAGAATTCTAGCTATATTCTCCCTCCTAAAATACAAACTGCTTGGATAAAAGGAGTGATGGTTGCATACAGAATACTCCAAGCTAAGATTGCTTGCAAAACTGTATTATTGCAAGCAGCAACAATTCCAGACAAGTTCTCATCCTATTCTGATCATGTTCTCTGCATGTTTTCTATGAAATCACGTCTTCTTTAAGTATATCACTTCTAACAGTTAAGAGAAAAATGGAAATATTCACCTTCTTTAATTCTGACTTTATTTCATCATAGCATATCACAGACTCTTCTTCCAGTCCTTTATTCTAACATTCCTAAAATTGGTGCATGACTCCCAAGGAAGTGAACTTATAAAATGACTACCTGGAACTATCTACAGACCCTGGCTCTAAAATCTTGTTTTAGAAGAGAGTTGGGAAAAGTCATCTTAATAAATTAACACTGCAAGATATTAGGCTTAACTGGATGTATTTATTGCTATAAAAATTTATCACGTTTAGTGTATTTAAGGGTGATTGCGGGTTCACTTGAAATTACATGCATAAAGGGGACGATGATGAAGAAAATAGGAAAAAACGTCAACCGTAGGGTTCAATAATACATCCATATCAAATCCTGTTTGCAACAAAGGGGAGTATCATATGGCAAATTAAATGAACAATTTTCACATTTTATGTTAGGCCAAAGTGTATACATGAATGAAAATATTTTCCCTTTAGTTTTGGCATACAACATTCATGTTGATAAAATAGCGTTTAAGGAATAAGATCAAGTTTATGCCTGGGACTATTTTTGGAAGGGCCTGAAAACACTGGACAAAGGCAGGATCGCGGTTTTTCCATGACTCCTCCTCACGTCCCACAGCTGGGACCAAGCCCGGATAAGCCGCAGGCAGAAAGAGGTTCCCCAAAGGTCATTGCCACGTCAAAGGGGCAGGAAAACAGCTACAGCAACGCCGCCGCCTTGTTTTCGCAGCCAAGGGGGCACTGCGAGGAAAGCCAAATAGAGATAAGAGAGAAAAGAAAGAGCAAGGAGGGGCGAAGACCTGGCGGCCGCGCGGCCGGGCCTTTGCGAGGCCGCGCCTGATCCCGCAGCGCGGGTCTCCTCCTGGCTGCTCTCGCCCCCAGAGCTCCTCACCAGCAGCCCCAGGGCCGAGGCGGGCAGCGAGCCGCCCACACCACCCCCGGCATCCACAAACGCACCAGAAAAGGCCGCCATCTTCGCCCCGTCCTCCGCGGCTCCGCGCGCTCCCCCTTTCCCTCTCCCCGCACACTCCGCGGCTGTGGCAGCGCGCTCTTCCGGCCCTCGGCCTTCGGCGTCCGCGGTCCGGGCGGGGACACAGCCCCAGGAAAATGGTTCCGACGAAAGAAAAGGTGCACTGCGCCCCGCCCCTCGCTCCCGCAGCTGACCCGACGGTGCGAACTCAGTGCAGCTGGACATTGCCTTCTATACAGTTATTATTTTTTTAAGGCACACTAAATGTCTTCTAGATCACTTTTCCACAGATCTTTAATCAGAAGTTTGGTGATTAGAGTCGCACAATGGGCCCAAGCTAATCTGACACCAAAGCATGCCCTCTCCCCTGCTTCAGTCGGTTCCTCAACCTCGCAAAGATAGACGGCGCCTTGTTGGTGAGTGAATGACCTGGAGAGAATGCACTGAATTAGTCCTATACTCGTGAGTGCCTGGTATCCGTAGGATTTGTTAAGTATTTTTGGCTGAAATAAGTAAGGGTTGAGGTCTCCCTCTTTCCCATCACCATTTTGATGTAGCTTTGATAATTAAGGGTTGACTTCCATGCAGTTTTGACTGCTTTCTCTTTGCAGAGAGATAAGAGAAAGTAAATGAACAATGAAACTTTCCAACCTCTTACTCCGTCAGGTAAGTATTAGAATCTTTAGATGAGAATTGACACTAAAATTAAATAACTTATTTAAAACCACACACTCGGCTCGGCGCC